TGTTTTGGGTGATCTCTCACACTTGTTTCTCTTGCCAAAGTACTTTCTAAAACATTACATGCCCCCCTTGGGCGAGTTCAATTATTTAATATAGGGTTTTGGGCTAAAAATCTCGTGTTTTGCACTTCAATCCCTCAATTTTCCGCTTCCTATCGCGGTCCTACCGCGGTTACGCCAAGACCGCGGCCAACTAGACTCTCAGAATCCGCAACAGCCTTCTGCCGCGGTCCAACCGCGGTTACGCCGGGACCGCGGCAGTCCATCTCCAGTTCTGGTTTTGCGGCCTTCGCGTGGTGCACTTAGCGGATATTGCAAGATTGGCCTCTTTTTCTCCGTAATTGATCCCAAAAGTACTCCATAGACTTCTTTTATTGTATATAGCCTGCAAAGCATGAAAAGCACTAATCAGAGCATTTTGTTATCACTTTTTACCATAAAAACTATACACGAAGGTGATTTTTTAGGGCCTAATTATAGTCCAGTTCACCTATTATCAATATATTTTCAAACATGTCCGCATACTTTTTCTTAAGTGATTAAAAAGTTTAAGTTCTGTGTAATAACGATATAAAAAATATTTAGATTAATAGGTCATTTAAAAGATAATTACAAATAAATTCAAATAATAAATAACTTATAACAGGTTGAAAATAACCTATAACAGGTTGAATTGTATTGATGACTTAAATCTGTACAATACTGTATAGCTCCTCTAAAAATAATAGTCGAAAAAATATATTATTTTTTATATTTTTTTGTATATATATATATACATTCTGTATGTTATATACAAAATTATATAAATTTTATTTACTTTTTCGATTATCGAGTATAAATTGTTTTTAACGTGGGGTTAAAAGTGAAAAAAGCCTACTGCAATTAGGATGTGTGGCCTTGTGAGACTGAGAGTGTTGGGTTTTGTACCCAACCTAAACACTATGTGGAAGATTGGGATAGAGCTCTCTATTATACTCTTTCCTAGCTAAAAACAAGAAATTGCCACAATAGATATAGTTATAAGCTTTAGTTTAAACGGAAAATGGCCAAAAATATCCCTATCGTATGGTAAATGGTTTATAAAAGCTCCCCCTCCCCCCCCCCCCCCCCCCCCCCCCCCGTCCATCTATTCATCTGAAAATATAATGGACATTATTTCTAATTTCAAATTTACCCTCGCGACTAACGGAATTCCATATTTGCATCTCATTAACTGATCTGGCCTTATTTCATTTGTCCACGTGGATCAGTGGGGCTAACATTATCTTCGGGTATTTTTTACCTATTAAACCGATCCGACCCATTTCTTTTACCTATGGGTCAGTCTTTTAACCCTAAACTCACCGACAAAATACTTACTTTTTACCATTTCTCTCATTTCTTCTATCTAATCTATCAATGGCAATTTTAGGGCTTCGTTAGGGTTCATTGTCTGGTCCGATTTGGTGCGCTCAAAACAGGAAGACCTTTGATTTCCAGCGATATCTTGCATTATTATCTGATTAAAGTAAGTATTTACAGCTTAAAGTTATTAAATTGTAGAGTTGGGGAATATTTGGGAACTGATAGGTTTATGTCTGCTGCATGTGATGTTTTTATCTTTTCTAAGCTATTTTTTGTACCTTTCTAGAATTTTTTATGTTACTTTTGTTTTTGGTGGTCCTTATTGTATTGGTCCTACATATTAAAGCTATAGTTTTTGTCGATTTATATATTTAATTGATGGTGGGGTTTCATATCTTTATATTTTTATTGTCGCTTTGTATTATACAACTGATGTGGTCCCATTTTGGCCTTTTTTATTATTGTTGCATGTGATTTTATCCGAAGTATGGTGGATAAAGTGAACTTATATTTTAATTATGGGGGGTGAGTGGGTATTGTAACCTACATTGTCTTATACTAAGAGAGATGTGCACATATTTAGTGGTTATGAAGTATACCATCTCTCTTATATTGATTTGTGTAAAGAATACACTGAAGTGATAGGATATGTTGAGATACAACAGCTGATATTTCTTGACCCTTCTGGGAGGTATTTTTTGTTATATGGGGATGAAGGGATTAGGAAGATTCAAGCCCTAATTAATGATGTTTTCACTAATGTACAATTATTTGGTGTTGACCTGTTGGATGATACTGTAAATGTTCCTGTATTTACCTAATTTACAGCAATAATAGATAGTGTACCTGTTGTTGTAGCTTTTGAATGTGATAGTGGTGAAGATGATACAGGTATTGAAAGTGTTGATAATGATTATGATAGTGATGCCTTAGGTTTATTTGAGAGGCAGAAGAAGTGTGAGGTAACTGACAACCTTGATAGGTATAAAACATTGGAAAAAGGGTATGATTTTCAAAGATCTTGCTGAAGCTAAGGAGGTTATTGGTTATTATGTTGTGTCTAATAAGAGAAGGTAGATAAGAGTGATAAGAGAAGACTTAGATACAAGTGTCAGATTGGTTGTCCTTTTAAATGTCTTATTTCTTAGGATGGCAAAGATCAAGGGGTAAAGATAAAAACTTGGAGGGATGAACATGACTGTGGTGAAGTCTTTGAGAACATAAAAGCTACTCCTGCTGCTTTAGCATATTATTTTAAGAGAAATATTCAAAATAATCCTAAGTTTAAGATTAAAGAGATGGAGGTTAATTTAGAGGATAGATTTAGTTTGAATGTGAGTGACTAAAAGTTAAAAAGGGTAAAGAGAATGGTTTTAAAGAAATTGGAGGGTTCTGAGTACAACAAATTGGAGGCATATGCTCAAAAGTTGAGAGAAACAAGCCTTGGTACTGATGTGGTGATACAGATATCCAAGGATGCAATGGAGGAAGGTAAGAGAAGATTTTTGAGGATGTATGTTTGTTTCCAGGCCCTCAAGAGTGGATTCAAAGTAGGTTTGAGACCTTTTATAGGTCTAGATGGAACATTTTTAAAAGGCAAATGCAAAGGGATGTTGTTAGTTGCTGTTGCTCAAGATTCTTGCAAGCATGTGTATCCACTAGCTTGGGCTGTAGTGGATAAGGAAACAAAGATAACCTGGCAATGGTTCATGGAGAACTTGAAGGCTTCTTTGGACTTGAAAGATGGTGAAGGGTACACATTCATGTCAGATATGCCGAAGGTATGTTACCATATGCAGATTTTTACATTCAATAGATTTTTACATTTAGCACATTCTTTGTTGATGTAGTGTTTCTTCATGTGTAGGGTGTGTTAGATGTTGTGAGGAATGTATGTCCACAATCATATCACAGATATTGTGCAAGGCATATTGAAGCAAATTGGAGCAAAAAATGGAATACTGATGAGATGAAAAAGTTAATGTGGTGGTGTTCTTGGAGCACATATGAGGAGGAATTTAAGGACATGTTGAAACAGTTAGGTGAAGTTTCTGAGGATGCTGTTAGGGACTTGCTGAATTATCCTCCAGTAACCTGGTGTAGAGCTTACTTTGATACCCAATGTAAGAACCCAATAATGGACAACAACTTTACAGAGTCCTTCAACTCTTGGATTCTTGAAGCTAGACATAAGCCAATAGTGAAGATGCTTGAGGATATAAGAGTGAAGGTGAAGTTAACTACTTTGACTAACTGCTTGTTTACTGATTTACTACTGTTGATTAACTACTGATTTACTACTGTTGACTAACTACTATGTAAATGATTTCATACTGTTGATTAACTATTGATTTACTATGTTATTGATTAACTATTGAAGGTGATGAATCAACTAAAGGATAGAGCAGAAGAAGTTAACAGTTGGAGAGGTGAATACAACCCATATGCAATGGAGTTATACAATGATTATAGGGAGATGACTTCAAAGTGCAAGGAAAATTTTAATGTAGAGAGGGGTTTTAAAATAAGTGAAGGTGAAGACAAGCACACAGTGATTTTGGAGCAAAAAAGGTGCACATGCAGGCTTTGAAACTTGTTTGGAATCCCTTGTGCTCATGCTATCAGGGCATATTTATATAAGAAACAAGACTCAACACTTGGGATTCACTGGTGGTATTCCAAACAAGCCTGGCAGTTGGTGTCTCAGCACAAACTGCAGCATGTTAGAGGTGAAAGATTCTGGAAAGTTGAGCCGCACCAAGCCATGGATCCACCACCACTAGCAAAGATGGTTGGTAAACTTAAAAGTGAAAAGGTCAAGAGAGAAGGATGAAGCTAGGAAAATGCAAGGACAATGGTCAACATCTAGGAAGGGTCTTTAGATGACTTGCAGTTTTTGTGGCCAGCCAAATCATAATAAAAGAAGTTGTCCATTAGCCAACAAGGTATTCTTTCGATCTATTGTTTGTACTCACAATCTGTTTTTTTACTCACAAGATAACATGTATATTTGATTATAGTTATAGTCAAAGAAAGTGCAAGACCACACTCAGACAAGTGAAGACCAAGAATCAGAATTTTTTATGGTCCCTACTCCAGGTTTTAAAGCACAAGACCAACATTCTAGTCAGAACACTCAGCAGCCAACTAAGCCATCCAGTCATGACACTCAGCAGCCAAGTCATCAATCCAGTTAGAACACTCAGTAGCCAACTCATCCATCCAATCATGACACTCAGCAGCCAAGTCATCAATCCAGTTAAGACACTCAGCAGCCAAGTCAACAATTCTGTCATGACACCCAGGCAACTAAGATGCCAAGTCAAAGTATTCAGACCAGAAGAAGGCTTATTCAAGCAGAATTTGGTGCAGAAGCTAACCCAGTTTTGAGGCCTAAGGTTGTCTCTGATATTAAGACTAGACTTCAGCGTAGGAATCAACAAAATTCTAGCACTAGGAAGATACCATTCACAGGTGATCACACTAGTAGCTCACAACCAACAAAACTGCCATACTCCCCAAAGAAAACTACCTGGAAGGGGAAGGAAGTAATGACAACAGCTCAATTGTTGGGTGTGAAAGAGAAAAAGATTGGCAAACTTAAAGCTAGAAGAGGCAAGGGTAGGGGCAAGGGGGAGTAGTGTAGCAAGAAATGATGAATGTAATATACATTAAAATCCTTTTTATGCATGACTGTTCGAGTACATATTGTTTGTTTATGTTCTAGGTTTTTTTTTTACAAGTAAATGTTGTGACAACGGTACAGGTTTTTGGATCACACATTTACTTGTATAATAGCAATACTTTGTTGGGCTTAAATCTTGAAACAATGTAAATTTACTACTCGATTAATGGCAATGTTCTTCTTGTCTATCTTGTCTATCTATAAGAGATTTCTATTCGTTATTGTGATTGTCTGTGCATGTGCACCTTTACAAATGCAGAATTTAAATGTTGTATGAGAGTGAAGAGAATGGTAACAAACTTCATTTCATACCAAAAGAGAACTATTACAAATGCAGAATTACAAAAGGAAACATAATACATAAACATTACAAATGCAGAAAAAGGAAAAAATCAGAACCTAATACATAAACATCTGCAAACTTCATATTTCAATTTTGGGGGTTTAACTTCAAACTTCATCAAAACATAATACATAAATTTCAAACTTTTGCATCATAACATAACTACACCATAACATAACTACACTACATCATCGTGAAAACTAGTAATAACACAAAGACAATACAAGAAAACACAATAAACAACTTCATATTTTGTAGTTGAGCCTCCATCCTAGCAATCTTCTGTAATTTTGCTGAATTAATTCCGTCGACCTCTTCCATTATTTTCTCCATTTTCAGTCTTTCAGCAGAAATAACAACTTCCAAGTTAGTCACCATCTTCTTCAGATAATTTCTTTCAACTCCAACTGACTTCAGTGAAGTATTCAAGTTATGGATTAGCATCGTCACATGTGGTGGCATCTCTTCATCCCGCCATTCCCACAAACCACATGAAGAGGCCTCGTCAAAATGAGGACATTTGTAGAATCGACGACTACCGTTCAATTGAGTCTTAGCCACAAAATGATTTGCAGTTAAATCACAATCACAAAAACGCGACAAATCAGAATAGACAGAATTTTCAGATATTTCGAAGGAAAAAAGACAAGATTTAATTAGTTGTAAAAGAGAAATTATGGGGAAGACGAAAGGGGAATAGGGGAACTGATGACCTATGTTCTAAATTGGGGAAGAAGACGAGTAAAAAATGTGGGTTTAGGGTTAAAAGATTGACCCATAAGTAAAAGAAATGGGTTGGATCGGTTTAATGAGTAAAAAAATACCCAAAGATAATGTTAGCCCCACTGATCTACGTGGAAAAATGAAATAAGGCCACATCAGTTAATGAGATGACATGGAATTTCGTTAGTCGCGGGGGTAAATTTGAAATTAGAAATAACGTTCTATATATTTTCAGACGGATAGATGGACGGGGGGCTTTTATAAACCATTTACCATACGATAGGGATACTTTTGGCCCTTTTCCGTAGTTTAAATAATAATTATGCAAAATTAAGGCATACAATTTTAGTATAGAGAGATCAAGTTTTAGATTGATTATTGGAGGAGAATTTTTTGAACTAAACAACATTAATGTTATAAGTTTAATTTAGTCGATTAGATTAAACCAGCTGCACAACCTCTTATAGTATGCTAATAAAAACTCGATATGGTAAGGTTGAACACATCGTTTCAAAACCAATGTGGAGTGACGCCATTTGATTATCACAAGATTAGTACTAAAGCATAAGCTCTAAGCTTTATCTATTAAAAGGAGTCTTGTGCACATATAAAAGTTGTCGCTATATGATTATGAGGTCATATATTCAAATCATAAATACATCCTCTTGTAGAAATGCAAGATAATATTGCGTATAATAGGTCAATGTGGTCTGATCCTTCCTTAACCAACATATATAGCAAGAACTTAGTGCATCGAGCTATCTTTTAGTATCGTATAAAAGTTAAAATAAAGAAGTTTAAAAATAGCAAAGTATGAGACATTATACAAAATGAATGAAACAATGAAGAAATTCAGAAAAAATTACAAAAAGATGTTGAAAAATTAAATTAAGTATCTAAACATGTTTTTGATGTTGAAAAAATTAAAGGGAAAATGCATAAGTACCCCCCTGACCTATACTCGGATTTCCAACTACACACTTTATCTTTGCGGGAATTCTATTACCCCCTAAACTATTTTAAAGTAGAATTATTTGCACCCTTAAAGTTGACGTGGCAGAGTGTGTGTATTTCACTCTCCTAGAAGCAAGAAAAAACGATTTTCAGATTTTCTTTTTGCTTTTTTACCATTTTTTCTTACTTTTTTTCCCTTTTCCTTTTCCTTTTTCTTTGTCTTTTTCTTTTACTTCTTTTTTCGTTTCTTCTCTAATTCCGGCGGATATTCATTCACCGACGACTTTATCTTACCGTTTTTCTTCCATTTATTCTATTTTTATTTTTTATTTTTCTATCCTTTTCACACACAAATTAAACTCTAAAAAAGATCTATTCATAAGCAAAGCAAAATATACTCAGATCGGGATAAAAATCTGTCGCCGGAAAAAATGGTGTTCTTGAAATTCCGACGACTACCATTTTATGCCGCCGGTGACCAAAACAAAAAGAAAGAGAATGAAATAACCAAAAAATTGAGAATAATAAGAAATAAGAAAAAAGGATAAGAAAAAGAAGAAAGAATAAAAAAATATTAAAAATATATATGGCATCGCGTGTACTTCACCACTTGTCAAGAGTTTGGTTGTCTAGTTTTAGGGTGGTATTTATTCCATTTAAAAATAGTTTAGAGGGTAATAGGATTCCCGCAAAGATAAAGTGTGTAGTTGGAAATCCAGGTATAGGTCAGGGAATACTTATGTATTTTTCCAAAATTAAATTAAGTATCTAAATATGTTTATGTACGTACATAGATTAGTCACTGAATTCCAAATTCTAAAGCAAAAATATGTCATAATGTCATAACTAAATATTTAAAAAGAATAAAAGATAATGTCTCAAACTTGTGCATGTGGTATGCTCCATCGGACTGTAGGTCCAATATTTGCCTTAGGACATACAAATAAACCTTACCTCAGTACACTGTACACGCCCTTAATTGGGATTTTAGACATTGGTTAGGCATTAAGAAACCTATTGTTTACCTTAAAAATTTGATAACAATTAAATTTATAATGTGGTTATAAGGACACGTGATTTCACCTAATACCAATTGATGAATATAAAGATTAATAACAGAAAATAACAACGAGATAAAGCAAACCAGTGTTGAAATATAATTCAGCCCTCGAGCTTGAGTGCCCTCGAACTGATCAGTACCGAATAGTTAAGAAATAAGCAAACTGATGAACAAGAATATAAGCTAGATAGAAAGTATTGTATTGCTTTGATATGCGTCAATGTAAGGTCCTTACAAAGATTAGAACTCTCTTTATATAGTAGAGGAATCCTATCTATGGTACAATTAGTAAATCCCATGATTAGCCTATCAACCGCCTTTGATTTGATATGTTCCGAGATTTTTGTCATGATCTTCGGCCAGTTACAGTTATCTCACTTTTCTGTTATTGCGCTTTCCTCGAAGTCTTCCCTATTTGGTCTCGATCACTACTGGCCTCGATCTCGACAGGCACCTCAATTCTCAAACTCGGTACCTTATCCTCGTACTTTGGTCTGATCCACTGTGGGCCGACCTTCGATGCAACTCCCTGGTCTCGATCAAATAGTAAAATCGGGTAGGCCCAGTTTTAACCATATACAGATAGTCCCCTCATTTTTTTGGAATGTAATGAGAATAAACGAATTGAACCTTCGATTTTGTACCTCGACCTGTCATGATGTCATCCTCGTGACGTAAGCAACGGAAGTGACTGAAACATCCCATCGGTACAGTTCCCCAAGTCATTAATGAGCATCAGTTGGTGGTCGGCCACCAGTGCCTTTGAACCGTCACCGTGAATCCCTTAAATAGGCCCCTTCTTTGATTGATTCAATCTTTACTTTCACTTTCTTCTATTCTCTTAAGTTGTTACATCTCTTAAGCGCTTCCTCTCTTCAAAATCTCCAGGGTTTGTTGTTAATACCCTTTCAAACACCAAATCCTATCATCTCCCTATCTCTTTAAACTCACACAAAAATGGCAAAAACGTCAAAAACTATTCCTCAAAAGGAAAACGCTTCTTCATCGTGGACGGCCGGCAATAAAACACCAGTGGAGCCGTGCCCTGAGGAGTGTGTTCCCGAGTGG